AGTTCTCTTCCAGCAAACCTTAAAGATTGAGGGAGGATAGCACAACAACACACAACACTTTCTTTTTATGTTTTTATCCTCTTCCAAGCATTTTGCCCAAACTTGGTTGGGGTGAACTTTAAGTTTATAACGATATGCCTGAACTTCGAGGCTACGGAGCGACTGCCAACAGACCTCCACAAGTACGTAGGCAATATTGTAGTTCTGTAGAAAGACTGTTGTCGGACTTTTTAGGTCTTCAACTAAAGTTGTTCTTATGAAAACGTAACATCTATTGATCGGTGTACGAAAATAAATGCAAATGTTTATAGGCTTCGAATCACTTTATTAAACGTAAGTATGTATTTTGAATCACTCAAGATGCGGGCGCAGGGTTTCCATATATCCTATACCGGTCGAAAGTTTTATGAAGCAGATTAATACTGGCACGCTGATATTGCGACGGTAAGACGCGTTATGGAGAATTGGCTCGATAGGAAACACGGGATTCTCTGATATTGGCTGACACAAAGGACGCTTTGGAGGTCCCCTGTATCTGATCCGTGATGAGGCAACGCCCGGGTGCTGCCACTACGATGGCCAAAGCGTGGTCATGACGCTTTACATGCTACCAGAATGTCCACCGTGTATAGAGCAGAGACATGATCTCGTGAATGATTGCGACCATGGTACGGAGCGACTAACTCCTCATGCGTGGCGAAGTAGGACTGGGAGGGACTTAGAACCCTCTTCCGGCTCACCAGGCCCGCTGACTGACGTCGCGACATGGTACGGCAAGCCATACAGTGGCGCGAAAAACAACCAGTGATAAGAAATTTCTGATCAAGTTCTTTTTATCCATATTTCAATGTGTTTAGAATTCATATTATTTTACTTTTTCGGTATAATTACACCGCGCAACGTCTTGGCATAGGACAGCCAAACTAATAGAAATAAGGTTTAATCCGGATGTGGCAGTGTTGTAGGTAAACGGAGCAAAGGATGAAGCACGCGCGTTTTGACTCACACTGAATGTCTCTTGTTCTCCACAAATGAAGTACCTAGAATTGTTTTAGCTTCAATATATTAGTTTGTGTTTGTCTCTCTTCATCTTCAGCAATAACTGCTAATAATATTAAAGCCCAGTCAATCAGAACGACGCAACCAACTTTGTATCCGCACAGACAAAGTGATGGACTGTCTCCCTTGACTCCCAGCGACTATACTCCTGCGACCTATGTAACTCGCGGCATATGGTGGCATGATAATCTGTAGAATGAAAACGCATGATACGACATGCTGCGGCATCCCGCGACATATCACGACATCATTATCATCATCATCAACACCCAATAACAGTCCACTGTTGGACATAGGCCTCTCCGTAGAAAGGAGGTTTATCACGAGATACTGCGGTATAATTGTATCGAACTTAAGTAATATGATTTCACAACTAATTACAATTAGGATAAAAATAACTTGGTCGGAATTGAAATTCATAACCACCCCACCGGCTGTCCGGTGGGAGGTTTCCGAAGGGCGATATCACGCGGGCGCTCGAACAGCTATCGGCGGCTCTGCGCTGCCTTATATGTGTAGTACGGGCGTGAGGCCTTGGGCGAAATTTTATAGTTTTTCTGAGGAGTAATCCTTTTTTTTATTTCAACCGATTTCTAACAATATTAACAAAGTGCACCATACCTTGCAGCAATTGCGGTTGATTTGCTGTCATTTTTTAAGAGTTCCGTATTCTGTCTCCAAAACTCATCATCAGATCTATGTGAAATTTAAATGTTACCATTTTGGAATAAACTCCTTTCGAACAAAAAGTTTGTAAATCCGTTTATATATGACGGAGTTATGTATGTATAAAAAAATATTAACATCCGAATGGGAGGTTGCCCTTTTTGAAGTCAGTTAAAAATTAGCCTAAGTTACATCTTATATAGACAGCTACCTGGTAGTACAATATTATTATCGGTCCAACCGTTTTGAAGCTTACCCAGAACAAACAGGCAGACAGACAGACTGACAGATAGACAGACAAAAAATATTTAAACTGGTTTTCAGGTACCGTGCAAATAATAGTGACACTTCACTTTTATTTATTGGTATAGATAGATTGATTCAGATAGCCTTTTTAATGTATCCGTGTGGTAACGGATTAAGAATGCGGATTGTCACCATCCCTATTCATGTCGTGGCTATCGTAAGAGCCGACTAAGAGAGCAAACTATATATCTATATTTCTCATACAATCAACAATCAGTATCGATAACGTAACGTGACTAAAATTATTTATATTTTTTAATAAAAGACGACTCCCACACTAGGAATATAATCTGTGTCGTGGGGGACTTTATAAACATACATGAAACGGACACAAAGAACACCCAGACTCCGAACAACAACTGGTGGATCACACAAAGTGTGATATATATATCCTATAAGGGGATCGAACCCGCAACACTCTAGGTAGGTCTCTGGTGACAGTGATTTAACACATTTATTGCTGGATCCATTAAGTAAACGGTAAACCATATTTTATTTTGTTATAGGGTAACAGACAAGAAACAACAAATTATTACTTAAAATTTATACTGTTCCCTTGGCTCCCCTTTACAGAAAGGCTTATTTTATTAGGGCTTATCGTTGTAGAAGACAAGATTTTTTCAGCGTAGGAGAGCTATGCTACAGCACAACGAGGCCGGCAGGACCAGAGTGAAACCACGGCCTCACAGAAAAACAGAAAACCGGTGTTAAGGGATTCTTTCATTCTTTTTAACCAAGTAAGTGAGGTTGCTCCCAACCCCTCCCTCCCTCCCCTGATTTTAGGAATTGATTTAACGGTTGGCAACGCACTTCAGACTCTTGAGTTGAATGATAGTCACTTACCAAGTCTTTTCGTATCCTATGCCTCAAAGAAAAGAAAAAAAAAACAGTGGCACTCCGGGAGTGCCGATAGAAGTGAATACTTATATACAGAGGTGTCGGTAACGGTAACAGTGTCGCTTCAATGGTTTATTCCCTTCTCAAAAAAAATGAATTTTAGTAAACCATAAAATACATTCGAGAAGTTTGACCTGTATTTGGAAAATCGCAATAAATATATGTTCAGTTACCCGACACTATATCCATTGGGTTCAATAAATACAACGTTTTAATAAAAAGCTTTAATTATAATATATTTACAACATTACTCGTAATTACAATATCATATATCTTTATAGATGTCATTTACAGGCTTTCAGAGTACGTTTGTGAAACGATTTTACAGACAAACAATTCCTTGTGGCTATCATTTTTGGTAAATATTGTATTTATTATTTCATTCTTGATTTTTTCTAAAGTTTTTTTTATTCGAGTAACTTTGCAATTTACACTTTAATCTTGATAATGTAGGCTCTTTTTTTCAATACTAAGATACATTAATGTAAAAGCCCGATTTGCATAATTTTCTTTCTTTCAGTATAACCTAAAATCTGATTTCTCCTTAAACATTAGTCTATACGGATTTGGGAAATCAAAGAATTAGAATGATTTTTTCTACTTAACATGATATTGTTGAATATCTAATGTGAATAAAATAATGTCGTATATTTCAATTTGGATTTATTTTAGACCGTAAATAAGAGAGATAGATCCAAATCGAACTGGTCAGGGCTACAGTATTTTTATCTCAGCTCAGTTTGATATTTTACAATAAATTACTTTTATGTAAAATATCCATTTTATTATACCACCAACACATAAAGAGATTTGCTGATAAAATTTAATCTTCTTCGTATACGGGTTTTTATATTTATATATGTATTATCAAAATAGTGCTCAATTTAGGATATCGGCCAGTTTACATCTTCAAAAATGTTGTAATTTTAAAATTAAATAAAACATTACGTGCCTTAATGAGATTAACATTTTTTTTTAGGTTCCTTTTAAGAAAAAATATGTTGGCTAGTCTATTGACATAAATACATTTTTAATGACTAAATAATAATAAACATTGTTGCATTTCAAAACTAGTACTTACAAAATTAAAGTAAAAATATTGCTGTGTAAATATTTAGAACAAAAATGTTACATTTTACGAAATAAGCGGTAAGTATATTATTTCTGTCCTTTGAAAATTATATGGCTTTTAACATCTCTCGTTAGAGGGTCTTAAAAATTAAAAAAAAAAACGTACATTTCTTACAACACATCTTAAATAAAACGTTTTCTCAGAGTGGAAAGTGGTTTAAAGTTAATAGCTTTTATATAAGATACTTTTAAAGTGTCAATAGTTTATTAAAACATAAATAACAATTGTAACTTAAAAATATAATAAAATACTAGGCTAAGAATGTTCAGATCGATATAAAAATAAACTGGCCGGTTTTACTTTGGAAAAAATTGGATCGTAGCAAGTTTGAAAAAAAATCGAACAGGAGCGTAAAACCGGTTTATTGAAAATAAAAAGGTATTATACGCCGCACATGCTGTATATATATACGTCTCTAAGCGTTATTTGAAAACGGCTCAATTATGGGGTTAAGTTTTTTTTTGTTCTATCTGAACTGCTTTATGTTAAGCATTGTGGTAGTGACATATTTTTTTAAATTAAAATGAACAGAATAAAACAAAATTAACATTAAAATTACGTAATTCCGTACAAATGATGGTTGTTTTCATGATTATAATATCGGTTTAATATTTTATTTTAAGGATCGTTAAAAAATTTCACCCTAGTCATTGCAAATTAAACTAATCCTTCGTTTGTTTTAGTGAAAAGTTCCTTTAAAATAATTAATATTGTAGACTTTTACGTGCCGTTGCCATCTAATTTGATTCGACGAGACCGGACCTTTAATTCTATTTATCCAATTCCTTCGACCAACAAACAAAACTTATCCTAATGATACTTTTGATGTGTACACTACACCTTTTTCCTTATCTCTAACAATATTATATAACGGTGCTACTTTAACACCACTAGGCTTAAAATGAGATTTGCAGAAGAAAGGATTCATTGTTATGTAAAGTTAGGGCAGTTCCCAGTTGATTTCGTCGTTGTATCTGTCCGATTCCTTCAGGGGCTCAAACAGTGGCAGTTTTGCGAGCAAACCTGTGAAAATGTTAAAATTGTTAAGCTAATGTGTTTTGTATTTTATTTTGAAGCGACGCGACTGTTTAAATAAAGAGGCTGTCCTTTTAATATAATAAAGATTTTATCCAGTCATTTTATAAAATATGATTAGTTATTATGATATTTAAATGAGTAATATATTTTCTAAAGGATTTTGTCTCAGTACCTTTGAGCAAATTTGAAATGTTTGTTATTTGTACAATTATCGGCGAAAGGTGATATGAAAACAAGGTGACTTTCCCAGCAAACCCATATTTAAAGAACTCAGTCAGTATTTTCATTATTATTACAAAATGAAGAGCTGTACCATGTTCTGTTCCTTTGAAGAAGTCTAGAGATAGAGAACCCCACCTACTCTGTTTCTCTTCATTACAAACTACATAATGAAGTGATACAGAGTAATAGTAAGTAAAAAAAAAAACAAATAGACAACATAGGATAAAATTCTGATGTTCCTTTTTGGTCAAATAGAAAATTTAAGTTACATAAATGCCGTATACATATATAATATATGTATTCAGTATTAAAAGGAAAAAAAATATAAACCTTTGCAACGTAGATTTAATTAAACTTTCAGTAATGAAATAATTTTTTAACAATAAAATCTCTCCAGGAACAGGCAAAGTGAATTACATTCCATTTATTATTATAAAAGATTTTGAATTTAGCATTATTTATAGCCCAGTAAAGCAGCTTTAGAAAATATTTTTAAACAAGCGCAATTATTTTTATACGCTGAATGTTTAAATATTTGGTGTTTTTAAGCAGACGCATTTCAAAGTATTAAATAGACCAAATAAATTGTAACTAAAACATGTGACTAAACTTTAAGTATGTTTATTGTGAATCCAATTTACCCAGCTAAGACAAGTGATATCTGAGCTAGAGTATCTTCTTTCTTTGCCATGTCTGAAATTGATTACATAACGAAAGCGTATTGGATTCAAGCAGGTGCACTTAAAAACAGTTATTTTTTTTGGTACTGTAATAGAATGCACCATATGCATTGAAGTGATAACTTCTTATGGGAGGGTAAAAGCGCTTCGTTACGTAACGCGTTACGGCGCCAGTCTGTCTGGCTTCCCTTTCTCTCACGCATACGGCCGTGGTATGCTCATCCTCTCTCTTGCTTATTATAGCGACCGTAAGCCAATTGTTTCTTTTATAGGATTAAATAATGATACTAATAAAGTACATACACAAAATTCTAATATATGCTTCTTTGCGTTTTCGATTATAGCCTTTTCTATTCTCTTCTTGAATACTCTGAATATTTTCTTTAGCATTCTTGCGTAACTCTTCTCTTTGTTCATTAAAATTCTCTATATTTTCTTCTTCTATCAGCTTTAGAATCTCGTCATTTCTATCTCTCATCTTTGTTCCAGTCAAGAGTTCGAAAGGTGTAGTCTTTACACTCCGTTGGTATGTGTTGTTAAGGCATCTTTGAACTTCGTTTACATGCTTATACCACTTCGTAGGATCTTCAGAGCTCATTTTACTTAATACGTTGATTATGGTTTGGTGCACTCTCTCTACTTGTCCGTTACCTCTAGGTTGCCCAGTAGTGATTGTGTGATGAGCAATCCCTTCTGTATCACAATATTCTTTAAATGCATTAGAGGTAAATGAGGCATTTCGGTCACTAATTATTCTTTCTGGTGATCCGAAAGTTTTCTGTTGCAGCTTTAATTTGTCTAACACTTCTTCGGTAGACAGGCTCTTTGTTGGGTAAATCCATGTGAACTTTGTAAAGCCATCTACGACAGTAAACAAATACTTGTAATGCTTGTTAGTGGACGTCAACGGACCTAAGTGGTCGATATGGTAAGTAGACAAAGGTCTATCTCCTTTATCAATACAGTTTAGAAATCCTTCTTTCTTTCCTTTTTTATGAGATACTAGTATGCATTTGACACAGTTTTCTATTACAGACTTTATCTTTTCTTTTAAATTCTCAGCATAATATTCTCTTTCTATAAGTTCTTCTGTTTTAATAACTCCGAAATGACCTTTTTCATGATATTTTCTGATTATTTCATTTTGCATCTTTTTTGGCAACACTAGTAATTTTCTTCCTTCTTTTATTTTTAATAAAACTCCATTTTCTACAATAAAGTCTTCGTATGCTTCTTTTTCTAAAACCTTTTTTATTAATTTTATTTTCAGGTCTTCATCTTGTGCTTTCTTCAGTCGTGCAATGGTGTCAGTGAGTAACACTACGTTTTTTACAGGATGTCTACTCAACGCATCTACGTGTTTCATTCTTGTTCCAGGTCGGTGTTCAATTTGGTAATCATATTCCTCAAGAAGTAGAGCCCACCTTGCTACTCTGGGAGGTAAATCTTTCTTTTGCAGAGTCATCGTTAGTGCAGCACAATCAGTCACAATTTTGAATTTTATTCCGAGCAAATAAACCCGAAACTTCTTTACTGCCTCAGCAATAGCTAGGACTTCTAAGTAGTAACTGTGATACTTCCTCTCAGTTATCGAAGTCTTTTTACTCATGTAATAGACAGGGTGCATCTTCTTGTCTTTAGGGCACCTTTGGAGCAATACGGCTCCATAACCGTCGGCACTTGCGTCCGTATGGACTTCAGTTTCAAGTTCTGGGTCATAAATCTTCAAAACAGGTGAACTGCATAGAACATGTTTAAGCTCTTCAAACGCTTTCTGGCAATTTGGATCAAAATCAAATACGACTCCATTCTTCAGTAATTCAGTGAGAGGTTTAGCTATTAGTGAATAATTCATGACAAATTTTCTGAAATATCCCGTAAGCCCTAGGAATGATTGAAGAGTTTTGATGTTCTTCGGGACGGGAAAATTTGCAACAGCGTTTATTTTCTCTTTTGACGGTCTGATTTCTCCTTCACGAACAATGTAACCAAGATAGTTTATTTCTGATTTTAGGAAGTGACATTTCTCCCAATTAAAAATTAAGCCACATTCTTCTGCTCTTCGAAATATTTTCTTAAGTTTAGCAATACCTTCTCCTTCTGTCACTGAGGGCAGGATAAGGTCATCTAAGTACGCCAACGCTGTACCATCGTTAATTAATTCTTGAAAAACATCGTTCACAAATCTCTGGAAAACACTTGGTGCTGTTGAAAGTCCAAAAGGCATCTTAATAAATTCATATTGGCCCTGAGGCGTCACAAATGAGGTATACTTCTGACTTTCGTCTGCAACATCAACGTGCATAAAACCATTTTGTAAGTCAAGTGATGTAAAAAACTTAGCGTGCTTTAGACGATCTATCTGATCTTCTATCAAAGGCAGTGGGAATCTTTCTTTAATAATCTTCTTGTTAAGTCTTCTGAAATCAACACACAATCTGTACTTTCCATTCTTTTTCTTGGCCAAGACAATCGGGCTTGCGAAATCTGATTTGCTTGGTTTTATAATGCCTTGTTCTCCCCATTCTTTAATTTGTTTGTTGACAACATCCAGCTCGAGAGGTGATAAACGTCGTGGGCTTTGATATATCGGGGAATCATCGGATAAAATAATTTTTAGTTGCACATTAGATTTTCTTGTAACATTCTGGGGATTATAGTCTTTAATCATCGTTTCGATAATACTCTTAAATTCTTGTTTACCAATATTATAGGTTTCATCGTCATCTTCTAAAGTTGTTAAGTGCAAAACCCTCTTAGCTGTTATCCCATCAGCAGAAAAGTGAACGTCGACTTCCTCCAATATCCGATTTCCAATAATGATATCTACTGGTATGTCATTATCATTAACTATATGGAAGGTAGTGTCAAAATAACAATCATCCATCTTAATTTTCGCCATAAAAGAGCCTTTAGTACGTATTTCGTGCTCGGCTATTCCTGTTAGGCACAATACAGCATGCGGATTATAGTTGTACCTCTTTCCATTAACCTTGTTGAACTGGCATTCTTTGACCAAACTCACATCGCTTCCTGTATCAATTAGGACTTTGGATTCAACCCCATTTATTGTCAACTTCTTATAAGGTGACTTGCAATGTTCGTTATCCTTCGTTTGAATTTTCATAGTCTTCTTTTGGTTAGTTGGGCAATCGTTTGATTTATGCCCGTAATTGTTGCATTTAAAACACTTAATGCCCTTCGTACATCTTGGTGCTTGGTGGTCTGTTTCACCACAATTGTAGCATCTTGTTTTCATTACATGTTTTTTATTCGCCTGTGAAGTACTCTGATACGGTTGTTTCGTGTTATTATCATACCTCGTAGTTGTAATCTTCTTTCTCATTTGAGCGTACAGATCCAGCTTCTTCCGGAAATCTTTTATATTTTCAGCTCCATACAAAATAGCTTTATTGCATTCTGCATCACGTATCCCGTCGATCATGTATTCAATCAACGCTTCGTCTTCAATTTTACCAAGCAACGCCAATTCTTTCATATTTAGAAAGTACTGTTGGTAAGTCTCATCATTTCTCATTTTACGTGTAGCTAATTTTTTGTGGATGGCAGCACTATTCAATTTTGAACCGAATTCTTCTTTTAATGCAGTCTTTAGTTCCAGCCATGTTTTTGGACTACTTAGTGTTCTTAGAAAAAGCTTTGCAGTTCCAGTCAGCAAGCGCTTGGCGTAGATTAGTTTTTGTATCTCACCCCATTCCATCAGCTTGGCGATATCGTCAAAATCATTAATAAAGGTTTCAATCGAGTAATTGTTGTCTCCACTAAAAGCAGACATAGACTTCTCCACGTCGCTGAACGATATTCAAGAATTATAACTACGAATATATTTTATAATCAAGAAAGGATTTTATTAAAAAATAACCTTTCCTTACATTTTCATATTAATTTACAGAAAATTTATGTAATAACCTTGGCTTTTCTCAAGTTAAACAATTTCAATATTAAATAGTTCAACTAAGATTAGTTTAAGTTATCACTTCTGTCGGGCGACCCGAGACGAACACGTTTTTTTATCTTAGGAAGAAGACCGAATCAGACATTAATTTATTGGATTCAAGATTTATAATTGACTCAGTTTCTCAACTATGCCTCGATCAGTTAAGACCATTAACTTAGTTCGCTGAATTAGGTAGTCTACTAAAACTTTTATAATCACGCAGTAATTAAGTTTCTTAAATTAAATTTGAATGTAAAACTTAACGGTTTACCCGTTAAGTTTTACACTCAAATTTAGCAAATGCGTTATACCTACTGGCAGATCAATTCAAATTGGTTAAGATTGGCCGTCTTTATTATTGTAAAATGCTTCAAAAACTTTCGACTCCATCTACGTGCAATGAATAGTAATGGTTTTTTAAATTCGAATGATTTTTAATGGTTGAAAATATTTTTTATATTCTGATTATGCGGTGGTTTCTAGAAAAGCATTTCCAGAAAAAATACTTTGTTTAATACATAAAAAGCTTTTATCTGATCCCCATGTGATCAATGTTAAAGTTAAGATAGATAAAAGAATGTTCTATGAAAGTAGATACAAGTTTAGCGCCTGTCCTGAACTTGTTAGTTACAAATAGTGGGTCGAACAATTAGTTTATCCGAGTACTGGTTATAGGCGTTTACGCGTTACCATTGTATTTTAAGTCAAGTAACTTTAAGTCTTTGTAAAGGTTAATGGCATTTTTTTTTATTCAACTGGACTTGCCTATTAAGATTTTTTTCAATTGTTGAGGAATAATATTATACTTAACGGCTATTTTCCAGCTAAATGTTGAAACGTTAAGTCGGATTTGAAAAGTAATATTTGCGCTTGATAACCTTATTCTTGGGAATGTTATAGGCTATTTACGCAATCCCTTAAATTAAGTAGAACGTAATGAAATAGAGCAGTAACCCTAACCGCAAATTAGACTTTTTAACTCCATGATAATAACAGTTTTTTTTCTTTAGTCAGAGACTCAAAGTTAGATTTTTCTTTGTACTTTACACATTTTTAAATACATTGTTAATTGTCCTACCTTTAAATGGATCACTTTTAATTTTTTTAAATGTATACCTGTAATCACTCCTGTACCAAATGATAACAACAATGTCACACCCAGAGCTGCCAGCTGGTACAAAGCCTGGCCGCCGGCCGTCCTTCCGCTCTATATTTAACAGAAAAATAAAAAAATGAATCCTTATATTCTACGAAATCAAAATAAAAACTATCTATTTTATAATTGTTGATATATTACTTTAGGAAAAGCTTACTTTTTTTATTAGTTTCTGAATTAAATGTTAACATTACACATTACATTACATTTTAACATAGAGTATTAAATTGTTATGTTAAAGCTTACATTCAAATGAAATATAATAAATCGTAGAGAATAGCTTGAGAAGTAGTAATAAAAACTGCCATTTTTATTGATATAACCAAACACGCAGTCTAACTGATCAAAAATAAACACACTATTAAAAACGGTTATAGAATTAACGGTGTTGTAACGCGTTAGTCGCGTTTAGTCTCTGTCAGATTTCCCATCGATCTTGGCTATTTTTAATCCAAAACTATCTTTATTCTAAAAACTTTATTTCATCATCATCATCATCAACAGCCTATACTAGTCCACTGCTGGACAAAGGCCTCTCCTTAGAAAGGAGTTTTATTTATGTAGATTAAACTATTTAAAAAAGATAAACATCTGATTACATTGTTTAAGTAACAGAGTCGTCAGAGCTAAAAGTAATTCACTATTCAACGTATTTAAAAAATAAAAGATGTGCCACTATACTCTTACTTATTCAAGTAAATAACAGCAATTCAAGAGAAATGAACGTGTCTTTTATCATTCTTCATCTTGTCACTTACTACTATTTATGTAATTACTTTTAAAATGTTCCTTCAAGAGGAAATATTGAAATGTAAACTTTAATCCTTGTTGAATAACTTCTATAGTTTAAAAATTAAGTTAACATTTAATAATATAAAATAAAATGATATTACTTGCCTCCATAGCTGCGAATATACCAGGTAATTCGGATCCATATCTCTCAGATGTGGCTAATGCGGCGAACAAAATGGATAAAATACCAGAATATATGCCCGGCATGCCATGAAGGTTGTTGACTCCGCAGGTATCTTGGATACCAATTTTCTCTAACGCTGGCTGTGGAATTAAATAATGATTCCTAATTAACATTGCAAACTCAACCAATAATAATTATTTGATCTTGACAAATATAGAAGACGATATTACCTTAACATCTATCAAAAAATTAAATGAATATAAAATAAATACTTCATAGAAAACTAGCTTCATATCCCAAGTTACGTATTATTAATGTTCATCTGAGATACTTAAGTCTAGAGGTTCTTGTTTTAACTGCTTTTTAGATTTTTTAGTATTTGTTAACTGTATGTGACCGATAGCAGATAGATACGACAGCTATGCTTCTGCACAAGTTTGCCGACTCCCAGCCTCACAGAATACCACTGTTAAACAATTATGTCATTGCTTTTCTAGCCCAAACACCTCTTCACCTGATTCTGGGGGGGGCGGGGTGGGGAAGGGCAGTAGGCAGGAACTGAACCCTGAAACTCATGAGTCATAAATCTCGAGTTTCGGGTGTTCCATAGGCGGCTGTAGGCATATACCATCAGGTTAGTTAGCGTTGAAAGATATATTTTTCTTTAAATGTAGTTGTCACCATCACGTCTCAATCTGTCAAATCGACTAAGCTCCCCAGGTGCGAATTTCTGGCATTATTCCTCCAACTCAATTTAACGTTGAAGGAATTTAATTTATGAGCGAAACCGGCTAGAGATTTATGAAGTCTGCCTATACATATTAAGATAACGTTATAGGCACAATTATAACGGGACTATTGATGAAACTGATCAGATATCGTTAACTCTTGTTTCTAATATTTAATTATAATAGCTCTCCGTTTTCATCAGCGTTTCTAAATTGTTAATCTTTGGATTTTTATGGAACGGTTGACCAATACGTTAGCCCCTTTTTATTTAAAAAATATTTAAAAGACTAAGACACTAATCACACCCACATATATATATAGACCATGATAATATGTGTTTATTGTCTTATTTTCAAATCTTCTAGAATTTATTTAACTTCTCTTATAATTGCAAATTTTAAATTTAGATTAACCGGCCTTTTCGATTGACTAAAGGTTTGTATTCCTTGACTAATGAGGGCTCTATTTCCACCCAAAACTTCTAAATTACACTTTATAACACATCTTTTATATAGAATTATGTAATTATATTTATCAGCGGTCAGGTTGCCATAGTACAGGCTCTGCCTAGTTTGACATCAGATAGCGGCGCGTCCACACTCCTACGCATACTTTTCATTACTATTCTCTTTATTTAGTTACATATACATATTAATTACATTTGTAAATTCGATTAAAAAATGTGTCCTAATGATGTCGGAAACAAAGAGCAGAGAACGTCGATGGTGAGGATACCAGAGACAGAAATTCCCTAACAATACGTGCCGGTTGATAAGTACTACTAATTACGATAATAATTAGCAGTATTTATCGAAAAACTTAAACAAATGAATATTTTAAGAAAAAACCATTAAATAAAATGCCAATAATATGCCACCACACTTAATACGACTTCATATAATCCGAAAAATGTTTACTTTCTCTGGTTTTCGGCCTTCTCCAGGGGCGTTATGATCACGAAAAAACTTTAAAAAAAAATATTATCTACTTTTCACTTGGACGTTTTCGGCAAAGTTTTCTCTAATTTCGTCTCTAGACAGACAAACTTTGTACTTTCATAGCTTTAACGTCATTTTGTTAAAGTGTAGGCGTATATATTGGCGAAATTACACGATTTGTGTCCACCTCGATGTCGGCAACTTTTTAAAATTAGCGTAGCATTGTAATAGAAATTCCTGGGTTTTGTTTTATTTAAATATAATATTTCGCATTAATATTTTAATTATTTATAGTAATAATTATTAAAAATAAAGTAAGACAGTAAAATATTTTTCTGATTTTAACTCGCTTTTATTAGCTTGGCATATGTACGTATGTAACGGAATCTTCGAACGTGATTTAGACGGTTTCAAGTCTTCGCATTAAATTGAAACTCCGCACGCTTATCAAGGACCGGTGACAATACAATAATTTGATAAAATTGGATCAGGATCTTCAGGATTAACGACTTTTTCCTTACCTAAAAATACTATAGTGCCTTTTGCTACGTACTAAGAGGCGTGTGGTGAGGCATATATGATTTGCTTACTTGTTGCTTGTTTAGTTTTAATGAGAAAAAATTTCATTATTTATGCCTAAAAGAGCAAAACTAAATTATAGTTTAACAAAACTAAACAACACACTTTTATCAAAACAAATAGCATGGGATGCTTTTCAAAATATTTTATAATATAATAACTTTATTTTTACCAATATCAGTTAATAAAATATTTTTACAACAATTGAGATCTAGCACCACACATTTTTCAATAAAATGATATTTATTTTTGAACTTATAGAAGGCTAGTTACAAAAGCGTGTTTTTAGTTTTTTTAACTATAATGTATTAAGGATTTTACCGTGGTTCAGCCATGTTTCGGCCCAAATCGTTAGTACTCAAGCGGAGTGATACCACGGTCTCACAGACAACCGGTGTTAAGAAATTATTTCGGAACCCTAATACTGCCTCGTTCACACTCTAGGAGGAAGGGGTAGGGGTGACGGAACTGAAAGGCGTTGTCACACTTGTGATTCTTGAGTTATAGGCGCCGGCAGTTACTATCAGGTGATCCATCTGCCCGATTGCCCCCTACATTAAAAAAAGGGTGTGAGCAGGGAGTCTTTAAACAAGGTTAGTTTAATCTAGTTGAAACTTTGGACGATTGTAAGGTACATAATACATATTATTCACGTCAATTTTCCATATAAATGATGATATATACTGAACATAATATCATTGAAAATTTAGTCTGCGAATGTCAACTTAGCAGTTAATCATTAACTTTGCTAACGTATTATTCAGCAGTATTACAAAATTAAATAAGTATTTTTTATTCCACAAGAGACAAAAAAGAAAATCTGTTTATCCAACTAAGTTTCTTTATCAAGCACCTTGGCTAACTTTTATTAATCTGAATTTAAATTATAAAATTTATAGCCAATACCTATACAACTATAACCTTTAAGCAACACTTACAACAACAACTTATAAGCAAAAAAGTAAACACTTAGACAGCATTTTTTACACGAATTCAAAAATAGAAGTTTCAAAAATATATAATTTTTTTTGTTCCTTTAGAATTCTGTCAGTCATGAACTGATTTGGAAATAAAAAATGGTGTTTCTTGAAAAATGTCAGAAACAAAAAGGTGAAAAATTAAGGAATGAGGAATATAGTTTATTACTTAATTCACCAAAATGTTTACTCACTTCTCTACTTCACTTTTTGAAAGTTAACTATTAGGATCTGAACTTGAGTTATCAGAAAAATATAGCCGTCACTTACCGACAGAAACCGATAACCACAAACACTGAGAATGCCAGCACCGATGCCAATAGCGATGGCGATACCAGGAGTAATGAACATGTTGCAAACAGCTCCTATAGCTACACCACCAGCCAACGTTGAGTTCTGAATATGCACCATATCAAACTTGCCTTTTTGGTGGTTCACCATAGAAGACACCACAAAGGCTGTTACCTAGAATTAAATAAATTTAGTTAAACTAGATGCTGTTAACGAATCAAGAGTTAAGATTTCATAATATAAATTATCCAGAAGGACCTGTTGGTCTTGTGATTAGTGCCCTGACTACTAAGCGTGAGGTCATGGTTTCGGTTCCCACCCAGGACAAATAATTGTTTGATCAGCACGATCATCTATCTGTGTCTGAGTGTATTTTTTTCTAATATTTATGCATTAGTATTAGAAATATAAAAGTATGTTTATCAGCAGTCTGTTTACCATAGTATTAGCACTGCCCAGTGTGGGAGCAGACGACCGTGTGTGGGGTTGTTATATTTATTTTAATCATTATTTTCTATAAATTAATGACAATAAATAAATAACATATAAATGATTTAATTTAATTAAATAGGTATTTACGTTGTTATTCGTTGCTTCATTTTCAGCTGTTCTTACTTTCGTTATACTTTACAAGAATTTTATAACGCAAAGGGGTAAAATCCAGCGAAAGCAATCAAAAACTCATCACGGTATTATTAAAAGTCAATATTTTTCTTTTAAGTTAATGCAATAAAAACCGCTAGATACAATATTAATTTCATTTTTCGGTATTTTTATAAGCTAATTCCACTTGTATTCGAAGTATATTCTTTGTACTCATTTTAGCCATTATGTTATTTTAATATTGCTTATTGACTTGAGTACAATTTTCGTTTTCTCAAGTAATAACACTGAAATCAACCGTATTAAGTTATAATGTTTGATACTTCATCGTATCCTCGGTCGTTGATAATTGATATATATTTTTCTAATCGAAATGAATATAAGAAGAATCATTTTCTCATATTCGATTGTTGGAACACATGAAACGTTGAAAAACTTTCACAAATAATATTTCTGAAAACAGTTACTTAAGAGAGGAGAGATTTACATAAAGTAGAAAAAATAAATAAAAAAAAAACACTTTATAGTTCTTCTACCGTAGCTTTTACTTACTGTGGCACCAGCGAGAGAAAGATAGGTATTGATAATAGCTCTTTGGTATTCAGCTGGCGATACAGTCAAGGCTGAGTTGAATGACGGCCAATAGATCCACAAAAATATAGAACCTGGAAAAACCCCATATCACAGTGAGATGTGTGTTAAAGAATATACTCAAATACAAAATACACACAAAGAATTTTTAGATCTGTGAATAGAATAGAACATAACCCGAGAGATTTCATTTACCTTGAAAGGAACTTCCAAATATTGTCCTTTCTTCGTTTTACTCGCGAATTCAGAACTTTTTTTCACATTAGCATATTTTAGTCATTAGCCCTATTCATTGTTCAGAAATGTTCATTGATTTCTTACAACTCCGGTCAGTTTACATTATAGTAGGTCTTTTATTCCATTTTTAATAAGGCGGTTTCTATAGAGGTTTATGAGTACAAGAGACAGACATAATATAGATAAATCTAGGTCACCCCGTCAGTGCTGGATAATAGAACGAACGCGGAAGAGCGAGAATTTTCAATAATACTACATAACGTTATTAAGTACTCACTGTTTAGGAGCAAAATATTACACCATTGTGAGGGCATTTTCATTGTTTTTAGATTAACAAGAACTTGTTAAATTAATGTTTGAGATTTAACCAAATACCTAGACTTCAATTAAGGTAATAATAACATGCTGGAAATTTGAAAAGCATAATCCAAAACGAATTAATTGTTGCCATGTAATCAAATCTCACATATTTTATTAAAAATAGAGGTAAACTGTAATGCATACTTCCATACTTTTGACTTTCATACGTTCCATACGTGAATTTGTTTGTTTTGTTGGTTTGTTACGTTTTAACGCCTAAATCACTACACTGATTTTAAAAATTCTTTCACCAATTGAAAGCTACATTATCAGGGCAGTAACATAGGCTATTTTAACGACTTTTTAGGTTATGGTCTGTGTTGCTCTATGTAATGAGTTATTAGACATCACTAGTTGGTGGCACTATGATTACAGTAGTGCGTGCGGTAGTTAGACATTACATTCATAAGTGTGACCGACATGAATATATTCGTAAATATTTTAAAACCAATTTATTAATAATTTGCTGTTATATTTATTTCTAAAAAATATGCCAGTCTTGCAAAGTGACAAGTTTTACTGTGACACAGTAAGCCGCGGAATCCAATATCTACTACAGTTATATCAATGAAAAAAAGAAACTAACCAATCATAGCTGTTACATCAGAGTTGTAGTTCGGGCCATCCAACCTAGATGCTTCTGGTACTTCGCCTTTCTTTATCCTCAATGCAGTACTAACTCCAAGCCCAAAATATGCACCAAATGTATGAATACCTATAGATCCACCGACATCTGAAGCCTGAAAAAATATAGAATTTATCGCTAGTAAATCGTAATTATTATAAAGATCTAAAAAAAACTTTAACGTTTGTTCTAAAGGACGTCGAGCCACTTAATTTTTTTGTGATCACTATTATAACAACACAACTCACATTATTTTGCTACACATACGTATAAAGCGACTGTGTTTAATATACGAGTCTGTTGAACACTTTACGAACAATTTAGAAAATAACCCCCCTTAATATACTCAAAACGACATGTACATAACAATTTACATAATAAAAAGTCTAGGTACATTTTTATACATCTTAATAAGAGTCATATCAAAAATCTAACATGTAATTAATTAAGATCATAAGTTACATTTCTGAGGTTAAGTCCGAAACAATACAAATAATTAATAATTATTAATTAAAATTTGAACCTATTCTGAGAAAACATTCAAGAACGGGCTGTGGGTACAAATATCCACGCACCACACATAATTTGCTGCGATTCGATACGGGATCAAGTTCAGTTGTTTACATTCTAACTTTAAACAGAGTCTACAGCGAGACCATGGATCGAATAAGCTAAACAATTCAGTTTATGTCTATTACATGTTCGTATAAAGTGGTACTAGTACGAGTAAATTATAACGCTGTTTAACTCATCGCGCTTTGTTTTTTTTATTTTTAGTAGAATTTATTATTATTATTTATCACTACAGAAAATGATCAGAATAATTTTCAAGCGTGATTCTTTTTCTCATTATAAGGTAAATGGTAATAATTTGACATCTCAAATTACATGATTTTAATTTATTGTAGTATCGAGTGTACAAACTCGTACGTAAATCAGAGCTTATTACTTACGTTACAATCTATGACTTATTTACAGCTTCTAATGTGCTGCTCTAACGCGTTGGATCTTTAGAGACTCCAAGAATTAACAGAGTATTTGTTCAATGAATAACCATTAGTTTTGTTTAAGCCCGATAGATGGCGCTGTGTTAATTTTCTGAGTCGCGATATTGTGAAACCACGGGCTATCGTATATATGTCACTTAAGTTAATAAAAATTATCCTCGCTTGGCCGTGTGTTTCATTTCTAACCACGGTCCTTAGGCGATTTTTGGGACTAAGGTCCATTTTGGTCCTATCCGAGTCGGATATAAGAGTACTTTTACCTACACCTGACTGCGTTGTGACTAAGTTGCGTGTGTGTATATTGGAAAAAGCATCGTGTGTGGTAACACGATTAGATGGCACCACGGCAATAGTTCCTACAGAGGGCGCTACAAGTACAAGAACAAATATTCGGGCTCACGGAGGCACCGGGCTTTTGGAACTGATGAGAGACGAGAGAGGTCGCCACCGAAGTCACAGGGATACGCAAAAGGTCGCCACTGAAGTCATAGGGAGACGTAAGAGGGCGCCACTGGAGCTGACGGATCAGTGAAGTGACAAATGACGTGTTTTAATTGAGGTTTGGCAGATATAAACTGTGAGTACTTTTGAACCATTTATCGTTACGTTTCAATAAGACAAAGTGTCAGTAGTTTAACTTTGAACAATTTGAAGCAAATTTGTTAAGTGTTTTGGACTTAGAAAATATTAGCATTAATCTTGGACATAGTGTAATTTAGTATTAAGTAGTTTGTAGACTTAGAATATTTAAGTAAAAAGTGATATGACGGGGAACCTATGCCCGATTTTTTTTTGAGTTCACAGTTGTCTTAAACACTTGTAAAATATTTTGCTATTTACTGGACTTAGAATAATTTGTGTGCTTTGGGTTGTTTATTTGTACCTAACATAGAATTTGAAAGTTGTTAACTTGTAATATTGTACCTGTAGTTTGCCATTTATTTTGAAATCATAATGGAGTCTTTAGTGAAGTTGCAAGTAGATATTCAAAGGATTATTGAAAAAGGTAGAATTAATTTTAAAAAATCACCAAAAGATAGATTAACTCAGTCATATATTGATACAAGATTAGAAACACTAGAAGAGCAATGGCAACAATTTATACAAACACATCGTAAAATTATTGAAACTGCAACTTTAACAGATACGAAGAACGCGTATTTTACCAATGAAATGTACGACAAAACAGAAGATATTTACATTGTGTACAAAAGTGAATTAAAAGAACTTAAAACTAAACCTAGCACTAGTAAACGGACAGAAACAGGGAATTATAATGTCAAGCTACCTAAAATTTCTCTTCCCACGTTTTCGGGACAATACACTGAGTGGAATACATTCCGTGATTTGTTTTTGTCACTTATCGACAGTAACGAAGGCATCGATGACGTCCAAAAACTTCATTATTTGAAATCTCATCTTATAGGCGAAGCAGAGCAATTGCTGCGACACACTCCTGTCACAGCTTCAAATTATAAGGAATGTTGGTCTATCTTGACAAAGCGGTACGATAATAAAAAATACTTGTCAAACTGTATTTTAAAAAGATTTGTAAATCAACCACCAGTCAAAGAAACGTCAGCGTCTATTAAAAATCTTTTGGACACCACAGTTGACTGTTTACATGGTTTAGGTACGCTCGGGATTGATATAGGTTCTTGGGACGTTATAGTCATTTTTATAATTAGTGCAAAGTTAGATGTGGAATCACGTAAATTGTGGGAAAGAGAAATTAGTTCATCTGATAACTTACCTACTTTTAAGGAATTTAAAGAATTTTTAGAATCAAGATTTCGATCTCTAGAGAATATAGATACTAAGCCTTTTAAACAAAATGTTACGAACAATGGTAATCGTAGTAACACTGCCAAATCATTCCATGTCGCTTCACAAATGTGCGTCCTATGTTCTGAAGACCACAAGTTGTGTCATTGTAAGCAATTTGCAAAGAAAGATTGTGACGATCGCCGTGAATTTGTCCGAGCCAACAACTTGTGTTTTAATTGTTTAGGTAAAAATCATACAGTTTATCATTGCCGTCAGTCCACAAAATGTCAATTGTGTAAGAAAAGACATCACACACTACTTCATCCCAAGCCGATCGCAAAATCTTCGGAACCAGGTAATGGTTCAGCAGATCAGAATGTCGTGGTTGCTACTGCAACTGCTTCTTCTACTCAAAGCGAGTGTATCAACATTTGTTGTTTCACAGATGTTCACAATCAAGGTCTGTTAGCAACGGCCTTGGTAAAGGTCGAGTCAAGGAATGGTACTGCTGTGGTTTTACGAGCTCTAATGGATCAGGGTTCGCAGGTCTCTTTTATTACGGAGTCCGCAGTACAGTTACTTGGTCTTAGAAAAACACCTGCCCGCACCGACGTATTCCGACTAGGCGATGATGAGGGCTCGCCGATGCCCTCTAGGTGGATGGTTAAAATAAAGTTACAATCACGCCTAGATCCCACCTTTGTTTTAGATGTCGATGCTTATGTCCTTAGCAAACTAACATCACGTTTACCTGAAAGAAAAATTGTTCAAGTGTTGTCAACGTTCTCATCCTTCGAACTAGCCGACCCAACCTTTGCTACTCCAGGTAAGATAGACTTACTTTTGAGTACTAGTGTGGTTGCCGAAGTTTTGTTGGAGGGTTTGGTTAAAGGTCCGCCGGGCACGCCCGTCGCTCAAAATACCAAACTTGGCTGGATTTTATCGGGTGAAATCCGGAACCCACCGGTGGCTTCGAGGCCAGTATGTTGCCATGCTATGGCTGGCACAGACGTGAATGAGCTATTACGTAGATTTTGGGAGTTAGAGTCGTATCAATCTTCAAGCGCCAAGGTTATGCTAACCGAAGAGGAGCGGCGATGCGAAGATTTTTATACTGCAACGACTCAAAGAGACTCAACTGGTAGGTACATTGTTAAACTGCCATTTAGGTCCACTAATCCCAAGTCTAGGTATGGTAAGACAGAAATCATAGCTCAGAAACGATTTCACATGCTGGAAGGGAGATTTTTGAGGAATCCTGAATATCACATACAGTATAGCGATGTCATCGATGAGTATCTTCAGCTAGGGCATGCTGAAGTTGTTCCCCAAAGTGAAAGGGGAAGAGATGCCGTATATTTGCCGCATCACGCAGTACTCCGACACGATAAAAGCACGTCAAAGGTTAGGGTGGTTTTCGACGCTTCTTGTTCGGGATGCAATGGAGTTTCGTTGAACGACGACTTAATGGTTGGCCCTACCTTATAACCTGATTTACGCCACATCATTATGCGATGGCGCCGCCATCCCATAACGTTAGTCAGCGACATTGTTAAAATGTATCGCCAAATAAAGGTTTCAGATGATGACACTGATTTTCAACGTATTTTGTGGCGTAAAGACCCAGATGCAGAATTACAGCATTTGCGTTTATTACGTGTAACTTTTGGTACATCCTCAGCTCCATATCTTGCAGTACGTTCATTGCAGCAACTGGCTCTTGACGATGGGAAGAATTTTCCTTTAGCAGCTAGTCGTGTTCTTAATGACTTCTATGTTGATGATTTGCTCACGGGTTGTGAATCGGTCGTTGAGGGTCAAGGTATTTACAATCAAATGAACGAGTTACTTAGTCGAGGAGGTTTCCAGCTCCAGAAATGGTCTAGTAACAATGAAGAGTTTATGCATAGAATTACGAAAGGGACAGTAGACTTGAAGGAAAAGTTAGAATTTAAATTAGATAATATTGTGAAAATTTTAGGGTTGTCATGGGATAGAAAATCAGATAAATTCAAATATACTGTCCACCTGAAGGAGCTGCAAACACCCGTTACTAAGCGCAGATTAATATCAGACATCGCTCGGTTATTTGATCCTCTGGGATGGCTTGCACCGGTTATTACAACGGCTAAAGTACTCATACAGCGTTTATGGTTATCAGGTATTGAATGGGATGACGAGCTTCCGGATAGTATATTGAGGGATTGGCTTAATTTTAGAAATGGGTTGCACAACATCAATTCCTTCCATATATCTAGATGGTTTCAGACCAGCCGAACAGACAGACATACGGAGTTGCAAGGCTTTTGTGATGCATCCAATGTTGCTTATGCTGCTGTGGTGTACATGCGATCTGTAGATTATAATGGTACTGTTCACGTCAGTTTGGTGGCCTCCAAAACCAAGGTAGCTCCAGTCAAGGTGGTTTCTATACCACGCTTGGAATTATGCGGCGCAGTGCTGCTCTCAAGGCTTCTTTTAGAAGTCTCGAGCACCTTGAGTATTAGTAAGGATAAAATCCATGCTTGGACTGACTCTTCAGTTGTTCTTGCTTGGTTGAGAGGTCATCCCAGTCGGTGGAACACGTTCGTCGGTAATAGGGTTTCTGAAATTCTTACCGCGATGGAAAGTACTCAGTGGTCACATATTCGATCTAAAGACAATCCAGCAGATTGCGCGTCTCGAGGTATGAATTGTTCAGAATTCGTAGAGTTTACACTATGGAAAGAGGGTCCTAAGTGGTTAAAAAATAAAAATATTAATTATAACAACAGTAACATAGAAGAAACTAATTTAGAAGAAAGAAAATCAAATGTAACGTTTAATGTAATAGTTAAGGAAATTCAAGAAAATAGTGTGTTTTCAAAATTTTCATCCCTAAAGCGATTAGTTCGAGTAGTAGCTATTTGTAGAAAATTTTTAAAGTTAAAGCATAGAAACAAAAAACAATCAAACGCCCTCATAACATTTACAGAATTTAATGAATCGCTATTTACATGTATTAAGATGTGTCAGATGGATCATTTTAGGGATGAAATAAAAGATTTGAAGACTACAGGACAGATTAACAAAAAAAGTAAACTCAGCTCACTAAATCCATACCTTGATAAACATGAAATTCTAAGAGTAGGGGGTAGATTACAGCACGCTAACATTCATGAAGAAATGAAACATCCTGTAATTATACCACATAAGTCACATTTCACGACTCTTTTAACAAACGATGCTCACGAACGTACCTTGCACGGTGGCGCACAGCTAGTATTAAATTATTTGCGAAGTCAATATTGGATCATAAACGCTAGAAGCTCAGTTAGAGGTCATATACGTAAGTGTGTTGCTTGCATTAGATATGCTGCCCGAGGTATTGCGCCGTTGATGGGGCAGTTGCCAGCTGCCAGGGTCAATGCTAGCCGACCTTTCTACCATAGTGGCGTCGACTACGCGGGTCCTATTAGTGTAAGAGCCACGAAGGGTCGTGGTCATCACTCCACTAAGGGATATATCTGCCTATTTGTGTGCATGGCTACTAGAGCCATTCATTTAGAGGTCGTCAGTGACATGACGTCTCAAGCGTTTTTGGCGGCCTTTAAAAGCTTCACATCTCGCCGAGGCCATTGTAGGGAGCTTTGGAGTGATAACGGCACTACCTTCGTAGGGGCTAATAAGGAATTAAAGATTCTTTTCAGCCAAGAAAGGTCTGGTGTAGCACCTGATATTGCTGACTGGTTGGCCACTAATGGAACGGACTGGCACTTTATTCCACCCCACTCTCCGAATTTCGGAGGGCTTTGGGAGGCTGGGGTGAAGTCCACTAAACACCATCTAAGGCGGGTCATAGGTAATAGCACTCTTACGTTCGAAGAGATGACTACTGTACTTACTCAAATCGAGGCTTGCCTAAATTCAAGACCAATTTCCGTTTTAAGTACCAATCCTGACGATCCGTGCCCATTAACTCCGGGTCATTTCTTGGTAGGCGAACCGCTGTTGCTCGTACCCGAGTCTAATTTCGAGAACTCAATTATTAGTGCGTTAAAGAGGTGGCATCTAACACAGCGCTTGGTGCAAGATTTTTGGCGTCGGTGGTCTAATGAGTATCTTGCTCAGTTCCACCAAAGACACAAATGGTCCCGCCAGATTTCAGAGCCAACAGTAGGAAGCGTTGTCTTGGTGATGGAAGATGATCTACCTCCGGCAAGATGGCTTCACGGTCTTATTGTTGAGAAACACACTGGCTCGGATAAAGTCACTCGAGTTGTTTCTTTGCGCTGTAGGGGAACTATAATAAAAATACCGGTTTCCAAACTAATTGTGCTACCAGTTGCAGAATAAATTACTGCAACATTGATTTGTATTGTGTTTAGTCATGTAAGTTGAGGTTTATAGATACATAATATGTAATGTTTTCAATTGTGTTTAAGTTATACAGTCCATTAGCTTTGATAGTGCCCATCAAGTATTTACATATAATTGTTAGTGTAAGTTGAAACCATATTTGTTTTGATTGGTTGTTAAGATATTATTTTGTGAGATGGCCATTCTGGCCATGGTGGGCGGAATGTTCAATGAATAACCATTAGTTTTGTTTAAGCCCGATAGATGGCGCTGTGTTAATTTTCTGAGTCGCGATATTGTGAAACCACGGGCTATCGTATATATGTCACTTAAGTTAATAAAAATTATCCTCGCTTGGCCGTGTGTTTCATTTCTAACCACGGTCCTTAAGCGATTTTTGGGACTAAGGTCCAGTATTTTTTTATAACAGATGGACCGTTGGTCCAGTGGTTAGTAACCCTGACTGCTAAACTGGAGGTCGTGGGTTCGATTCCCACCCAGAACAAATAAATGTGTGATGAGCACGATCGTTTGTTCTGTGTCTGAGTGTAATTTATCTATATAATGTATGAATTTAGAAATATATAAGTATGTTTATCAGTAGTCTGATTACCATAGTACAAGCTCTGCCTAGTTTGAGATCAGACAGCCGTGTGTTACGTAGATGTGTGAGGTTATTATTATTATTGTAACATTAGCAGAAAGAATAATAGTTCCATATTGAAATAAGACAAGGTACTCGAAAATTAGTTATGAATTTTAATGAAAATTTAAATGAAAGATTCTCGAAGATCTAGATCTAAGATCTCTCTTTCATGAATCTTCGTTGTACCTTTTATTATTTTATAGTATTATATTTATTACTAGCTGACCCGCGCAACTTCGTCTGCGTCTCTCAACAGTAATAAATTTTCTCCGTTTTATTGGTCTTAGCGTGATGATATATAGCCTATAGCCTTCCTCGATAAATGGGCTATCTAACACTGAAAGAATTTTTCAAATCGGACCAGTAGTTCCTGAGATTAGCGCGTTCAAACAAACAAACAAACAAACTCTTCAGCTTTATAATATTAGTATAGATTAGAAGATTCATGAAAGCGGACAAATATATTTAATTTTAGGTCAGATATATTTAAATAACACACTGTTCATCTCTGTATCCATTTGTCATAGTCAGTGAATACAATGATTACCAACCTAATCTTATGCACTGTTTCAATTCACAAAGTTGTTATAGTTCCTTGTGATTGCAATATTATGCTAAATTGTTCATTTTCTAATTGTTTTTGAGAAAATTTTGTAGTTCATTTGTGTGGTGTCACCTTTAGTGGCTAGTTCAGTATTTAAATAGTATTTAGTGCAAAAACTTTAGAAACTTTAAATAATTATACAAAAGATACAACGTCTACTGGTGACCAACATTTTTTTTTCAAGCAAAAGAAATGAATTTAAATGAGTATGTAACTTAAAGCCATAAATAATGAAGAATTCACAACCTTAAAGATATCACCAATTATGTACAGGTTTAAGCATCCGACGGCAATCTCCACCAGGGCTATGAACAATAGCTGTGCTCCACTAGCGATACCCAATACCGCACCGAAGGTAATTAAAACAGTCGCTGACATGACATCTGCCTCTACAAAAAAAACAAAAATATTTAAACGACTGCACGGCTAGTGGCTTAAGCGGTCACCTTGCCGTTTTCTACTGCGCTGAGTGTTATTTGTTCGATCCCCACATGGGACAACACTTTTTGTAATAAACAAATTGTTGTTCTAAGCCTGGGTATTTTTAGTGCCTATTTTATGTATGTTTGTAAATTTCCCCTCGACACAGCATATATTCCTAGTGCGGGAGTAGTCTTTAAAAAAAAATATCACTGCTGTTTTTTATGTTTTACAAGTTCTCGAACATTGAAAGTGCACTAGACACTTGAACTATGTGTATTTTATTTATATGTCATAGAATTAAACACTTCGCTTCGCTCAGACCTATTTGAACTCACATCCTTTGATAACACAAACAATAGTGTACTGTTAAAATATCTAACAGTCTATCATCAGTTTATGTCTAATAATTAATTGACTTAAAGTGATTCTCATTGGATATACATAATGACCGAGCTGCATAGAAGTGGTTAATATAATATGTAAATTACATTCTGAATCAATTTTAGTCGCATTACGTACTATATAGAAAGGAAGCAAATCTAAGCTATTTTCTGTCTGCCTACCTTCTGCGGTAAGAGAGAGATGCCTCAGTGTATAGGGCCCAAAAGACAGAGAGAAAGAGAAAGAGAGAGTGTGATATCACAGCCTTACGGATAACCACTGTTAAACAATTATTTCGTTGCTTTTCACTGTAGTGAGTGGACCCATCTTCGTGAAAAATCAATTTGAAGTGCCCGTAATATTATTTGTTTTTAAGAGAAAATATAAATAAAAGAACAGCAACTAAAAATCAAGTCGAAAGCGGCCATTTAACTCAATTGATTCTTCAAAAAGAGACTGTTACGCGAAATTGTAATACAATTTAGAACAATATCTAAACATTTTTGATATTAAAGCCTTTCTTTTGAGTCACAGTATTGAAAGGAAATTGGGTATTTAAAATACTGTCTTCATTTAAATTTAAGGCAGGTCCCTCTGTTATTAAAAGATACAATACTTATTTGTTCCTCACAAAGTAACTTTGGAAATTGAATAAAATAAGAAGTCTCAGTAAATAATTGAAGGGTTCATTGTTTTGTACGAAAACTTGTTCGAGTGGTTGTCTTAAACTTTGTTTAAGAAGCCATTTATTTGTAATATCAGCATTAAGTAGTTTAAACTTAAATTAAGTAAAACAATTTCATTTAATGTTTCCGAGTAGATTTAGTTGACAATTTTAACAACAAATAGTTCCAAAAGGACCATGCTCATCAAAACCAACATAAATACAAAATATCTCACTAAGTTGCAATAAAGATCTATTGACGTTAGGTTGCAGTTAGATTTTACTTAAACTAAAAATATTTAAAGAAAGGAAATGATTTATTAAATAAAATTAATGTTGGTCACCAAATAAATACTTACCGAACAATGATTTCTTTGTAAGAAGTATTGTATTATCTTTCATATGATAAAAGGATTGGCATAGTAGGGCCCATTGAATAGCCAGTGCGGCTAAGAGCCAGTTAAAACCCAAAGCACTGTAACAGTATTTCTTTAGGAAGGTCATCAGGAAGCCAAAACCAATAAATATCATTACATGTGTGTCTTCATATCCTGAAACAAATAAAAACAATGTTACTGTCACAAAAATTGTATCTTATAGCCGTATACAAAGATACTAACAGTTTAAGACGCAAACGATACATAAATAAATAAATTCAGGCCTATCCTCGAAGAGATAGGCAGATGCCTATTGGGCGCAAAAAGGGTACCAGGTTTAACATGTGTATATGTGTGTTTGTGATGCTTATGGTATTATATCTCTTAAATAGATTGGCTCATTTGATTTTAGTTTTCATCGTTTAAATGGTGACTCAAGCAAGATTGTTTTAACGACTACTTGAAAAATTCTAATCAATCTTTTAAAGGTTACAATTTGATTGACGGAGTAAACTTAACCAAATGAATCATTTTTAGTATGTGACTTCTAGAAGACAGTAAAAAATCCTTATGTTCACCGTCATACTTTAAAAACATTGGTTATTAAAATAAAATATTTCCCAATCTTTCTGACACTTTGTGAAGGTTAAACAGCATTTCTACTTAAAATATGTGTAATATTGTCTTCTAAACAGTTTAAATTACTCATAATAAGTAAGTCACCTTTAAACAATGATTTGATTTTCTCAATACAGTCCAATAACGAAATTCCAATGCCGTACACAACTCGAAAAAAACAACCCACATATATACATTGATCTTTTCTGTGGTAAATAATTTTAAGCGCGGCAAATACACCCATTGCCTATTTCATCACACATAAACAGAACAATACATATCCCTTTTTATCTTTCTTTTATCTTTTTATTTTTCCCTCACTGTAATGGTTAGAATGTTAAATGAAAAATTGCAAATGAAATTACACAATTCATTGTTTTTCTGGCATAAAATGGGGCCCGGGAGGATAATAGGACTTAAAATGGATACATATAGAATGGGAAACATGTACTATTTGTATATTTTTCTTTTAACGTAAAATCCTATTTTTTCTGTTCTGTTGAAATATCTATCTTGGACGTCCGTGAATTTTTTTCGAAGGGGTGTGTTTAAAACCCGTCCTTTCGATGTAAACTTTGTATGTTTTTATTTAGAAAACAGATTCAGAATTAAAAATAAAACGTTAAATTTTGTAATGTTTTTAAAATTGTATAGAATATTACAAATATTATATAGAATATTTATTTTCTTCTTTCAGTGACACAAGTCCAGTAAAAGCGAAACATTCTTCATAAATATACTCTTTTTTCTAAACCTGTATCTGTAATTTAAGTAACAAAATAATTTGGTATCCCTTTCGATAATAGCGCTAATTATATATTTGGTATTTTTATTCTCGTAGTTAGCAAGATAGCAATGAATGATTTCTGTGTTACTATGACTGTTTATGGTAAATCTCACAAGCATTTTTATTTATTTTATAATTAGCTTATTTTCTACATAACTTAAATGTTAAATCCTCTTTTTAAGATCATTAATAATATAATCTTTATTTACTACCTATGAACACCCACAACATAGCATAGCATTAGGACATAACAGCTTTGCCGACCGATGAAGTGCGAGTGCACCCTGTTTCTAGAAGGATTGAAGGCCATATCGGTCGCACCGCAGGCGAGTAATTGTTTTACAAATTGATTTTATGATTAATTTTGCATTTTAATCATACTTATCGTCTGCGGTATTTCCGGACCGATACGCCCTTCAAACATTCAAGAAAAGAGCGTACTCCTTCCTAAAAGGCCGGCAACGCGTTTGTGACGCCTTAGTTGCAGACGTTCATGGGCGGCGATGGTCACTTTCCATCAGGTGACCTGTCTGCTCGTCTGTCCCTTCTAATATAAAACAAAAAAAAACTTAAACGGCTAGAGTTAGAATTATTATGTACGTGTATTTAGAGTGGGAGTAACTATTCTTATATATACGAATACGGATATGAACTAAGTTTATAGGTTAGCTATAAACGTACGAGAGCTGCTTCCATTAATGTGTCGTATTAATCAATTGAAAATATGAATAGTTTAAGTTGTTATCAGAACTAAAGAGTTACATACAGTTAAGAATTAGGCATAGGAATTATGATGTGAGTTAATTATTAATGCAAATAAATGAATGGTAAAAAAACATTGTAAAATTTTATATTTCAATATCATAACCACTTAAAATGAAATTTCAAGCATACACAACACTTATACTACACATATTATACGTGTACTGATTTAGTATATGTGTATAGCAGATTGTTGTTCCAATGTTCATTCAGATGTTAAGGAAGTTCCTTTTTTTATTTTTCTTAGCAAAAAAGAAAATCTCTATCTATCCTCCATTAGAATGAACACGTTAAACCATAAGATATTAATGTTCTCTCCATGGTTTCCTTTATTATTTTATTCCCCTAATAACGGCTACACTGATATAATTATTTCAACTATAACAGCTATATAGATATAATAATGGGATAATTGTTCTGGACTTGAAATGCTAACAAAAGAGGGTACCCGTATTTTTTTATTGTATAAATTTTGCTTATGTAAGCAGCTGGTTTTACAAAGTACTTGTCTTGTTAAAGGATAATACGAAGTGAGGTATTATATCGTATCAATAGAAATATTGTGTCAGCTATGCTAACCGTAATAAGACATTTGAAAACGGTTAGGGGTTGTAGTACTTTCTTTGTAGGTTTAAAGGTATCAATTTTTATTTTAGGTGTTGGTTTCTTTCTTCGTTGGCTTTTTCTGCGAAGGACTTATAGCCAAGTGGTTACCACATTGTAAAGCGAAGCAATGAAAGCCAGGTCAGTCTATGGATGGTTGACGATTATGAACACACTGAGACTCTTCCGTGCCTTGGAGAGCATGTTAAGAAATCGGTCCCGGTTGCCATATGAGCATCTGTGGCTATCTTTACGGGTGGTTGGAGCCCACCGTCTACAAGCCCGAAAACAGTCTATATACGAGTACAAAAATTCTATATGACTTAGTACTTGGGTTGTGGAGGTCTGATGGCACTCGCTCAAAAATCGAAGTTCAGCCGTATCTTGGTAGACTTAAAGTCCATATTAAGCTAGTCTGGGAAAAGGTTCGTAGGATGATTTTACTTTTTCTACTACCAAGCGTTGATTCATTTTAATGTGTAAAACAAAGTTGGGTTCGTTACACTATTTATAACAGGAACGCCTGAACCGATTTTTTTAATCTTTGAATTGTTTTAATTTGAAGGCAGTATGAAAACAGTCCCTATTGTAAACGATTTTATTTTTAACCAACTTCAAAAATGATGGGTTATCAAGGATTGTATTTATATTTTTTTTTGTATATATATTTGAAGGATATTTATATATTTTTTTTATGTATTCGAGCGTAACTCAGCCAAATATAGACCAATTGTTATTTTTTTTATTTTTCGAAAGAGGTTTATACCGAAATGGTCCAATTTAAATTTCATTTAGATTTGATGATGATGTGTTTCGGAGACAGACTGCGAGACTCTTCAAAAAGTGACAGGAAGTTAACTGCGATTGCAGCTAGGTTTTTAGTGGTCTTCGTTAGTATTGTTTGTGGTCGGTTCCACTTCTTTTTAAAAAGGATATATCATTATTATTCAATATATAGATGTTAAATTGTTCAAGACATATACATATATAGATGTCATTTTTCTTATGTCTGTTTTTCTTCTGTCAAATGAAAACTCGAGTCGTGGTTACAAGGTTTTAATTTCCCTCAAATTTTAACGTTACATAATGAACTAAAATTAGTTTTCATTACATTTGTCTCTGCCGTGAATAGCAGAATAATATTTTAAAAATTCACGAAAAAAGTAATGATTTTACTAACATTGTGTATGAAACTAAAAATGGATCAAATGCACATACAAACATGGGGCTATTGATGAAAACGCAGGTAAAATGGGTAGTTTTGTGGCGATTTCCTTCTCTTGCCGATTAGCATATTCTAATCGGCAAGGCATCGGCATACTTCCCAACATCTACCGTTGGAACGCGGCCCGCCAGGCATGATCACTCCGCCTGGTCGGAGGATCCTCCCTTTGTGTTGTAGGGACACGAAATCCGTTCCTCCACAGTTTAAATATTTTATTTTTATTTTTTATAATTCGACATTTGATAAGGCAACCTTTTATTACAGTCTCGAGCAGACAAGTCACCTGATCGTAAGCGACTACCGACATGGACACCTGTAACTCAAGAGTCACGTGTTTTTGAGTGTCCCCTCCTCCATAATCAGGAAGAGGGGAGGGGGGTTGGATCCGGTAACTCCCTCACTCGAAACAAAACGAAATACTCACTCCTGTCGAGCCAGCCAACCACCATTTGTGCTGAAGTCAATATACTTTTTCATTATGTTTTCGAAGAATTGTTGAGCAATTTTGTGTAATGAAATTAAGACAGATTGATGCTGAGTACAATATAGAATTTAAATTAATTCCAATACTTTTATACTTCGTACATGTACGTACCTAAAAAAAATATTATGACAAAATAAGATATTTTTTCCATCGCAATTAATATTTTTTTATTAAATTAATTTTCCTTTCCTTATTTGCTGGAATCCCCTTCCTCAATGTTTTTCTATAAAATAAACGTATTCCGTGAAGTTGTAAATATTAATTGATTCCACAAAAGATGGGTAATAACAAACTTTCACTGACAAAATTAAATTGATAATTTTAATTGTTATTTATATTTTACTGAATTTAGTTAAAAGCAGTCAATGTTTCGAGAACATGTTTTTGAGAATGAACTTTTCAAACTTTTAACTCAATCAACGTTTAAAACTTTAAAATAATTTATTCAGATTATTCATCAAATCAAGTTAGAGATAGATTGTACGATGGGCTTTAGAGCAAGCGTTGCTCTAAACCAGATCCTACACCTTAGCATTTTTTTTTAAATTAATATATAAATCGTGCAACGTGCACTGCTGGACATTGGCCTCACCCAATACTCTCCTTAACAACCGGCCGTGTGCTGCCCGCATCCAACGGATGCGACGACCTGGTCGTCGGATCACCTTGTAGGGGACCTACCCACGCTCCGTCAT